GGGGCAGGAGAAGAAGGGGATGACAGAGGATGAAATGGTTGGATGGCATCAGCGACTCGATGGACATGGGTTTGAGTAAACTCCGGGAGTTGGTGATGGACAGGGAGGCCTGGCGTGCTGCAATTCATGGGGTTGCAAAGAGTCGGACATGACTGAGCGACTGAACTGAACTGAACTGAACTGAATAGTATCATTGTAATAGTAATAATCTCGTTGGATTATGATGAAGATAAAATAATACATGTAACATGTATACTGAGCACAACACCTAGCATATGTTAAATGCTGAATACATAGTTTTATTATAATTAGGAAAAGGAATTATTTTTCCTTCTTAGATAGTTCCAATAAAATGAGGATAGTTACATTTGTCTTACCTACTTCACCAGGATCTATCTAATTAGCTAGCTTAGTGGTTAAAGCTCTGAATATTTTAACCTCACTAACTATGTTTATTGGTTAGCTCCATGGTCAAGAATTTGACACCCACCTTCAAAACCCAAACTAATGATTAAAAGTTAATAGCCTCATTTTTAGGAGAAATCTCATATTCCATCAATCTCAAGTGACAAACTAGAACAGTATGGTTGCAATTTGAAAGATACTGAAATGTAATCTGAGATGGACCTCCCCCCTGCAGTGGAAGCACAGAATCCCAAAACTTTCCTGTTTAATTTCTTACTAGAGTGTCTGTCTGAATCTAGTTGCTAGGATTAGCTAAGATTAATAAACCTTGATTAGTAGCTTTGAAACCATGGGCAAGTTATCTCACCTCTTAATGCCTCGGTTTCCTCATTTATAAAATGGGCATAATAATAGGGTTAGAATGTGGAGGAAGTAAGTTTATATGAGTACTTAAAACAATGCCCCACAATTGACTTTTAAAAATCTTAGCATTGTTACTATCATTACTACTGCTCTGATAGCTATAGCTGCTCATCAAGACTCCCTCAATATAGTGAGTTCATTTTATTTGCTGCACTTTTCCTTAAACTAAAGTTCAATTAAAACTTCTTTAATTTAAAAACACAAATAGCAAATTTTGCCTTGCATGTAAAATAACCTTAAATTTTCAAGACTTTATTCAGGAACATCCCTGGTAGTCCAGTGGTTAAGAATCTGCCTGCCAATGCAGGGGACAGGAGTTCCATCCCTGGTCCTGGAAGATTCCTCATTCCTTGGGGCAACTAAGCCTGTGGGCACCACAACTACTGAGCCCATGTGCTGAAATTACTGAAGTCTGTGTGCCCTGGAACATGTGCTTTGCAACAAGAGAAGCCACGGCAATGAGAAGCCCGTGCCCTGCAACTGCAGAGTAGCCACCCCCACCCCTGCAACTGGAGGAAGCCCGAGCGCAGCCAAAAATAATAGATAAATAATAATAATAAAAATTTTAAGACTGTATTCTGTAGTGTAGACTAAACGTTGTAAAATATTATTCTTCCATTTTAATTTTGGAGGCACAAGATGGATTTATTTTGACTGAATGTGAAAATCATCATCATCAATACGGTTGCAGCATTTTCTCTCTGCTCATTCTGTACTCATCTTTTTTCCAGTTCCAAATATCATTTGCATGGGCCTGATGATGTCGAGTATGGATATTGTAGAGGAGTGATAGCTTCCCTTTCATATTGAAGCTGAAACTTCAAAGAGAAGATTAAAGAAGTGTTTGCCATCTATCTGCTCAGCCCTGATATGAAATTCTCAGAGGCTTTTAGGATAAACACAACTCTGTGTGTGTGTTTGCATGCTTTTTCTTCTATATATTTCCATTGTGGTCTTTGTATTTTGGTTTAAAATTTCTAGTTTCAGACTTGTTGGAGTTTCTGGCTAAGGGATAATTGTTTTTAAAGTGAAGGATAAGAATTAGAAGATGTTGGCAGCATTTGACTAAATGCCTCCTAAGGAGAGTAGAATTCTCTAGTGTGGAATCATCTTTCCAGAGAATGTAATGAAGGACATCCATAGGATATATTTAACAAGATAAGATTAAGACTTTAAGTGAGTCAGCAAAGAATAATCCATGGTGCCCTCCAGTGAGAAATGAGATTGTTCACCTTTTGGCCTTGCCTTTTAGAAGTATCCTCTCTGAGCTCTGGGATAGAGTGGTGTTTGTGTACGTGTGTGTGTGTGTGTGTGTACAGACTTCTTTTAGGGTTGTTACATAGTAAATAGTTAAAATAAGAAGACAAGAAGAAGAGGTAGTTTACCAGGGTAGTTTTATATCTCTTGAGAAAGAAGCAAACTAATATTCCACTTCATGTCATTTTCTACATAAAGTTCTATATATAATTTTTATTGACAGAAATATTTAATTACAGTATCATCAAGAATAAAGCAGATTCTGCTATTTAACATCTACTAGAGAGACCTGCTACTTATTGGATTAAATTAAATTTAATTCTTTCTCTATAAACAGCCTTCTTAAGATATAACTACTATTGAGAGAAGCAATACTTGGTACACGTGAACATATAACATCTCCTTAACTCACAAGCGAAACCAGGACACTTTATAGTATGTAGAGAAAGGAGTTGAAAATGTGTGTGAGTTGGAATGGAGATGGTAGGGGGTAGGGGTAGGGGGAACAGGTAAGAGACTGAGATCATTAGTAAGGTTTTATCTATTTTGACAATTTACCATAAATTGGCCCTTTAACTGCCACTGGGGCATGGCTGTTTTTTTCTCTATCAGTAAGTGAAAACATTTGTTAGCCAAGTTTTTGCTGTTGCTGTCGCTAACATTTTGGAAAGAGGAGGGCACACACACAATCTGCACACGTTCATATCCTCATTTCTATTTATATTGAATTAGATAGAGGTTGGGTAATGATTGGAATGGGGTGGAGGCAAGGCAACACCTTGAGAAAAGATGGAAAAATAGGAATAGAAGATGGAAAATTGTTCACCCTCTTGATAATTTGCTTGGTAAGCTGTGTTTTACAGACAGAAGATTTATGGAGAACTTTTCACATTGGCCAAGTTCATTGGGAAACGGCAGTGTCTGCTCGGTGGAAATTGACCCATCATACTAATATAAACAAATTATTTAAGTTGCAGCTAGTTTCAATTTACATATGCCCTTATGTCAATGTGGATGCCCTTTTCCCCGATGCTGCACCTTTGTATTTCCCACCCTTCCCTTTCTCATCCCCTCTCCCCCTTTCCACTGAAGATGTCAAAGCTGTTCTGAACTTTACTTGCCCTCTAACCCAAGCATCTTAACATTCCTTCACCTGATTGCCAGTCCAGAGCTGTTCTGAGAAAGAAAAGGAACAAGAAAAGTCAATCGCAAGGTTTCTTCACGTTCTCTTCTCAACTCTGTTTATTTCCCACAAATTCATCTCTGGATTATACTCCAGAGATGTATGCTCCCTACATATCTCCTTCCTCTCCATTTTCTGAATTTTTACAAAGAAATAACCTAGATGCTCTTTGGGCTGGTGTTCTTCCCCAAAGTAGCCACACCTTATTTCAGTCTTGAACTCAGTTGGTAAAGAATCCACCTACAATTCAGGAGACCTGGGTTTGATTCCTGGATTGGGAAGATCCGCTGGAGAAGGGATAAGCTACCCACTCCTGTATTCTTGGGCTTCCCTTGTGGCTCAGCTGGTAAAAAATCCACCTGAAATGCCAGAGACCTGGGTTGGGAAGATCCCCTGGAGAAGAGAAGGGCTACCCACTCCAGTATTCTGGCCTAGAGAATTCCATGGACTGTATAGTCCATGGGGTCGCCAAGAGTTGGACATGACTGAGTGACTTTCACTTTCACGTACTAGAAGACACACTATTATCATCAATGTATTACCCTTTTCCTCATCTTTTTTGGAATATTTTTTTGGGAGGGATATTTTTAAGAATTGGATTAAAACTGTGAACTCTCTCCTTAGAAAAAATGCTGTTATACTCATATATGCCCCTGGGAAGTCAAGATGAGGATAGAAAAATATTCTTTTCACTTAGAGGGATAGAGATTACTATGTTTATAGCAAGAATTAATATGTGGTGACCATAAGCAAGATTGGGATATGTTGAAGAGCAGGTGGGAGGTGAGGAAATAAAGAGAAACTATAGCCAACAGTTTTTGAAAATTTCACTGTGATGTGAAAGGAAAGAGGGCAGCAGATGGAGGGATATGAAGGGGGTGAGGGAAGGTTTGCTTTATTTTTATATGAGCATAAATGCTGATGGAAAGGGCCATGTTGAGAGGAAGAGGTTGAATTTATACAAGAGAAAATCGATGTAATAATGTAAGTATCCTGTGAAGGCAGGAGGAAATGGAGTCCAAAGTATAATAGACTTTTGTGGGTAGCCACTATATATAACATTGCTTCTGTGGGGAGGAGGAGGAAATAATTTAGATTTCAAGTAAGTGACTTGCAAATGATCCCTTCTGCTATTGCCATTTCATTATTTGTAAGACTTCAAGGGTTATGGGGTTTGCCAGTCATTTCCCAAAATAAAAGAGGAGATGGAATGATAGACTGAATTGCAAGAGCCCCAGTCTTGGCTCGGACACTAAAATATTAGATGACCTTGAGTCAGTTGTTCATGCATCACCTGTAAAATTAAGAATTTAGGTCTAGAAGGTATTTGGGGATGTGTTGGGGGGTGGTGTTTTAGTTGTCATAACAACTGAGGGTACCCAGAACCAATGATGCTGATTGTTCTGTAATACACAAGATAGGTTATCAAAACAAGGAATTGTCCTGGTCAAAGCCTGCAGAGCTCCTTAGGAGAAACCTGGACCATGGCTAGGTAATATTTTAGGACCTCTCTAGCTCTAAAGTCAAACTTAACTAAGGAGATACAGTGAGTTAAATGTCCCTTTCAAGCCTTTAAGAATCTTTCAAATCTCAAGGACAACCCTTCAGTTTTTGTTAGAGTAGATTGTGGCTTTGGCTAGTTAATGACTATTTAGGAGTGCTATTGCTATCATATGCCACGATTGACAAATACAAGTTTGACTTATCTCCATTCTTTTTCCTTTTATTTCAGATACTTTTGGAATTTTCAGCCCCAAGGTGAGTCCTCTCCAACCATTTATGGTTCGTACTAAAAATGTGTAGATGGTATTGTTACTTCTGTATCTTCTAAGTAAGCTTCTCCATAGGGTGGCATCGGCCCTTTCTGAGGAAAGTCAGTGGAGTGTTTAATTAACCTTCACCCTGCTGGGCTCCCTTGCCCTGCCTTTTAGCAATAAGAAGCCCTGATGCTTCTGCCTTCTGAATGAATTAGTGCTAGATTATTCTGTAGGACCAAAGCTTTAGTATGCTTTTATTCCTTGAGCTTTGTTAGATGCCAACAGGATCCACCGGCATTCAAATAAAATGGTGGCCAAGTCCATAATAAAAGCCTTGGGAGGGCTCCAGCTCAACTAATCCTTCATTGCTCCAGAAATAAATTCCGGTGTGTTACCTCCTCAATCACAGTGCTCTTCCACACAGCCTGCCTGTCTGGCAGCAGAAGCATGTCAGAAATGGAGTAGTGTGGAAATTCCCCCTAGAACGGTGTTATCACATTTTAATATGAGCCTCACTGCAGCCTCCGTGCTTCTAATTGCTTTCAAACCATTGTTTTCCTGCTTTTGCTTGATGAACCCAGCATCTGGCATGATTCTAAAAAGTACAACAGACAGCTGTGTGCAAAATTGAAAAAAAGAGGGTAAAAACACATTTTTAAAAGGTTCAAAATTGAAAATTTTTCTGAATTCAGTTTGAGGTGGTGCCTTTAAAGTATATGCATACTTTATTTTTAGTACCCTCGTTGAGAATGTCAGAAACATCATTCTGAATATTAACTATCTCAACTTGTTATAAATGGGTGATTTTTATTTTCTCAGAAAAATCACAGAGCATTTTAAACTAAAATAGCTTTATGAACTATTTTGCTCTATAAAATTTTTTAACCAATTGCAAGCTTTTCCAATTTTTTTTAATTTTCGTATCATTACCAATGTATCCATCTCAGTGAATAGTAGTACCTTAAAAAATTCAAACTGTAATGATTCTAGTTTTATTAAAATTTTAATTTTCCTAGCTCATACTTTGAAGTCTATAAAGGCTTTCTTTAAAAGCAAACTTTAAAAATAAAATATTATATTTTTGAAGTTTTTAAACTTTCATAAAGTATAGCAATAGCATTTGTAACATTTTAAATAATGTGATATAGTGTTACTGTATATCTCACTGTCCTAAAGCATTTATGGCTGAAAACATAGGTTGAGAATAGAGAATTATATGTACTAATGTAGCAGTTTGTTTTGCAAAATGTGAAATATGCTGTTCAAGAAATGGCCCTATAGTTCAGGGTTTAACAGATGCTAACCAAAATCCACAAGGGGCAGCATATGAATGTAAACAGGCAGAAATGAATGGAACTGTGAAGATAGAATTAATTACCTAAAGGAGAAATAAAAAATTAGTGTCAGAGATGTGGTATAGTAATGTGTTGAGAAGAGAAAATAATTTTAGAGCTTAACACAAGGGACTGTGTGGGGCTCAAAAGACAAAGCGCACGTCTCATCAGATTCCTGTAATAGTGATATTATAGTCATCGTCTAGCATAGGGCAACTTCTGCACAGTCTTTCTCTTTTAGAAAGAAGGCAGAGGTAGAGCAGTGAAGGAGACAACTGACAAGAGTTTATTTAGAACAGAAAACTGTTTACTTCTTGACAATGATTGGATATATGTAGCAAATTGGATATTCTTTGCTCATTTGGAAGTAATGTAAGGAAAGATAAAATAGAAAAACCCATGTACATGTGGCTTGCCCCCAGCTTTGTTCCTCCCACTAAGAGAGTTTTGAGGGGCAGAAGAGAAAAGAAAGGGTATCTTTTACCTTGCCCTTTTGGTCAGATCTTAGCAGATTGTTTGCTTCTAAAATGTAGTTTGGGTGGGAGCAGTAACAGGTCTATTTAAGATACTATGGGGCAGTTTGGGATTATGAAAAGAATAAGAATATGTAAGAAGTAGAACAGATGGCAGAAGTATTTTAAGAGCCCTGGAAGACTAGGTAGTATTGGGAAGGGAGTGAAGAAGAACAGAAATGGTGGCCCCAGACATTCCTGGCATTTTAATCTGTGGCAGGATTTTTGTGCAGGAAGGTGATGAGGTGAATTTTATTAACTCTGTGCATTTCCCTAAACACACATGTGTATTCTTCAGAATATTTGTACCAGAGTCTGGTACCTAGAGGGAAAATAGTCCTTAGTTGTAGAAGAGTTGACACAACGTACTGAAAAAGCATCCTTTAAAAGAAAGATACTTGGGAGAGTAGACTGCTAGACCTAGAGAAGGATTTCAAGCAAAGCATTTCTTATCCGTCATTCCATTCAATGCCAGGTTTAATGCAATGGAAGAGTGATCATGGAATAGTATCAGGAGAGTTTTGTCCCTGTTCTGGAGAAGAAACAGGGCATGGTAGAAAGAGCATGGACGTTGAGGCCTAATAATCCTGGGTTCAAGTCTCACTATACCATTTAGCTAAAGGTTATGTGAACTTAGCAAGTTGCTTCGTTTTTCTGAATCCTGGCCTCCTTATCTATAAAATAAAGATGTACCAGACACTGTGCGAAGTCTTTTACATGCATTATCTTATCTAACCCTCAGAACAGCCCTATGGAATAAGCACTGTTAATATACCTATCTGACAGATGTGGCTACTGAGGCAGAGAGTGGTTAAGAGAATTTCTCAAGGCCAATATCCTCAAGGAGTCTAACTTAATCAGTATGACTTTGTATAACATGTACTCTTTTTAAAAAGATATAAAAGCTTTATTGTGATATAATTCACATAACAAAAAATTAACCCTTTAAAAGTATGCATCAGTGGTTTTCTAGTCACTGAGTTGCACAACCATCACCATTGTCTAATTTCAGAACGTGTTCATCACCCTGATAAGAAACTCCATGCTCATTAGTATTCTAGAGCCCAGTATCTTCATTGCTGTATTTTACTGCCTGATTGCAGGTTGTCATGAGGACTAATAGTAATATGTGTAAGTCCTAGCATGGTGACTGGACATAGTATAGTTTCTGTTCATGGTGTTATGATAATTCTTTCCTTCCATTTTCACCTAAGTTTTCATATTCGTCCACTGTTTAACTTCCTGAATGATGTTCATTTAAAAATAAGGAAATAGGAAGAAAAATAATCCCAATAATTTATTACTTTAATATAGAAGGAACATAAATGAAAGACCTCTTTTAATGGGCTTAAACAAAATTGTAAAACATAGGAAAGACTTTTTATATTTATTTTTTAATAAGATTGAGATTCCTTTGATAATTCAAACTCTGTTTACTTTGACCACTTTTTCTCTACTTAAATTCACTTAAAATTACAAAGAAAGTACATTGGAATCTTTGCTATGGAACTTTTACCATTTCAGCAATCAGATATTTAAAACATGATATTGCTCAAATTTCTGCAACAATATTAACTTTACCTTTTTAGATAGCCATAGCACTTGATGGTATTGATCCTAGTGACAGTTACAGTTAGAAAAAGTTTCAGTTACAAGGCATAGTGTTTATAATTTAAATTTATTGCTATAAAACTTCTTCATGAGTATTAGAAAAATTGCCCACCATGGACCCAGAGTCTAAAACAAATGATACAATATTTAAATAAAAATTCAAGAAAGACCATGGGACTATCATAAATATATGTAACAAAATGGTATTTTTTCTGTCCAATGGTCATTTACATTATATTTGCAATAATGGTAAATATGGACCAGTGAAATTTCTTGGCAGCTTGAATATTCTTTGAGTACCTGCATAGGTGATGTAGAGGGTTTGTGAGAAAATTACTTGGTATGTTTCAATATGAAAACTTTCCACTGTGTGAATCTTAAAAATCTTATTTTGAAGTGGCAGGCCTATATCCCTTGTCAAAGTGAATTGATGCCAAAAAATACAGCTTGGCAAAAGCAAATAATACAAAATGAATAAAGAAAATGTTATTATAAAACCACATTAACTATAGATTAAAAGAGATTTAAAAGCCATATCAACTAATGTGTGAACCTTATTTGCATCCTGAATCAAACTATACAATCTATGAGAGAATTAGAAATTTGAACACTGACTGGATTTTTTATGTTGAGAATCTACTGCTAATTTTTTAGGTGTGACAATGGCATTATGTTTATATTTATATGCTGTGATATTTGAAGATAAAGTAATAGATTCTGATGTATTATTCAAAATAATATGGGAGAGGAAGAAATAAATGGGGTGGGGTGTAGATGAAATAAAATGGATCATAAATTATGTTGAAGCTGGACAATGTGTACACACTTTTTCCTACTTTTGTATATTTTTAAAATTCACTATAATGCAAGAATAAAAGAAAAAAATCTAGTTTGAAATTAATAAAAAATGTAACAATATTTTGTTTCTATTATGAAACCTGGTACATTAAAGCATAAGATACTTTATGTGTCTTGGACACAAAATAGCTAAAATAATGAGGGTTTTTTTTTTAAGTTTTTGTCCAAGTTTAATGTTTTGTTTAAGAGCATGCGTTTTGAAGTTAGACCTGGTTTCGAATCCCAGTTCCTTTACTAACAAGCATTGTGAGCTATAGCAAGTGATATCACCTTCTCATTTACACGATCTTGCTAGTAATATCTGTGTGTGTGCGTGTGCTGTCACTTCAGTCGTGTCTGAGGCTGTGCAGCCCTGTGGACTGTAGCCCTCCAGGCTCCTCTGTCCTTGGGATTCTCCAGGCAAGCATACTGGAGTGGGTTGCCATGCCCTCTTCCAAGAGATCTTCCCAACCCAGAGATCGAACCTGCGTCCCTTGTGTCTCCTGCACTGGTCGGCACATTCTTTACCACTAGCGCCACCTGGGAAGCCCTAATAATATCTTCTTCAAACTTATTATGAGTTGTAATGAATTTTAATAAGATGATGAACTCATGAGGAGTGCTTGCCACTTGGTAGGCACTTACTGAAGTGGTAGCAAGTATTATGTTTATGTTTCAAAGTAGGGCTATGTAAGTAAATCCATGTA